GTAATTAATATTTTGTAATACATAAACCACACACTGTAAACTTTGCAAGGAAATAAACATTTTTCATTTCATTTTCATTAGTTGGTACTAGTTACCGATGCCCATGGATACCAGTACCAATACTTTGGCACATCCCAAAAAATAAAGGTACAGGTAGGGCCCCACTTATATGGCAGGTTAGGTTCCAGGCTATCACCATAAAGTGGAACACCCTTTTTTTCCACCTGTAAATGCATATAAATACAGTGCCCCCAAAAATGCACTTACAAAAGCACTTAAATTAATACACTTGCATAATTGTTTGAGTTTTGGGCTGTTCGTATCCTGAGGTACCACTGTACTAGATAGCAAGTTTACACTAACTTATATTAAGTTAACAATAGAATTAGGCATTAAAAAAGCAATAAAAATATAAAATGCACATATAGTACACTCATTACTTACCTTAAAATAATTGTAGTCTTAATCTAGGGTGAGATGAGTAGTATTTATTGTAAGAAATCAAGTGGCGTATGTATGGTAGCCTGGGAGGCATAGTTATGTAAACAAACCAGGTGTACGTGCAATTTGTAAACAAACCACGCTTACATATCTGGTTTGTGTACAAGTTGTCTCTACATTGATACAGTAGAATAAATAGAGGAACACTCCCATTCTCGTGTAATGCCATTTTTAGAAGAAATGACACTGATTGAAGGCATATGAAAGGAATAATTTTCTACAGTTACCCCCAGTAACACATTTTCTCTGATGTTGGACTAGAGAAAACATCATTCTTGCCGTCACTTATACAAGTTGTCTGGTTACAACATCTCGTATTTGTTAATTTTTTCTATTGCGGGGTGTATTTATCATGTTTGTGTGTTGTGTACAGTGGACCCTCGGTTATCAGCCGTAATCTGTTCCAGAAGGTCAGCCTATAACCAAAATGTCTGAAAACCAAATTAACATTTCCCATAAGAATTAATGGAAATACAATCAATCCGTTCCAGACAAAAATATTCACAAAAAAAAATTATTTTTTAACAATTAAATCAGTATTATATACCTTTAGTGAAGACTAACACTCGCTTCTGGAATCCTGCTACACTGCCTGCATGCCTGCTACACTCCCTGCATGCCTGCTACACTCCCTGCATGCCTGCTACACTCCCTGCATGCCTGCTACACTCCCTGCATGCCTGCTACACTCCCTGCATGCCTGCTACACTCCCTGCATGCCTGCTACACTCCCTGCATGCCTGCTACACTCCCTGCATGCCTGCTACACTCCCTGCATGCCTGCTACACTCCCTGCATGCCTGCTACACTCCCTGCATGCCTGCTACACTCCCTGCATGCCTGCTACACTCCCTGCATGCCTGCTACACTCCCTGCATGCCTGCTACACTCCCTGCATGCCTGCTACACTCCCCGCATGCCTGCTACACTCCCTGCATGCCTGCTACACTCCCTGCATGCCTGCTACACTTCACGCTTAAATTCCATGGTGTTTCTCACTTTCTTTACCATAGGAATTTTACTAGGAACTTTTTTTGGAGCCATGGTTACTTATTTCATAGTTGCACTGCAAAAAAACCCCACTAAAAACAATGGAAAACAAGCAAAATGTTTGGATGTATGAGTAGAAGGCTCCTCACACACCGAGAGAGAAAGCCAGACTGACGCGCAAGCGGTCCCAGCCGGTGAACGGACGCATCCCAAATGGCTGATCACCGAATTAACAGCCAATAACCGGGTGCCAAAAAAACCAGCCGATCATCGAGTTGGCTGATAACAGAAGCGGCCAATAACCGGGGTCCACTGTATTGTGATCATTACATAATTTTGAAAAAATATCATAGATGGATTAATGAAAATGTGTATATTAACATAATATACAACATTTAATGAGACTCGGTGATTATTATTGAGTACAGTGTTACCCCGAGTTTCGGCCATAATTCGTTCCAGAAGGCTGTTCGGGTGCCATTATTGAATGAATTTGTTCCCATAAGGAATAATGTAAATTAAATTAGTCCATTTCAGACCCCCAGAAATACACTTACAAAAGCACTTACTATAATACACTTGTTCGAGTTGGGAGCTGTACGAAACTTGGGGTATCACTGTATTATTATCATTAATAATATGGCATCTCGAGACATGAGACACACTTACTGATTTTAATGTGTACCTGCATGCCAGCACAGTGTATAAGTTTATTTAGGTACAGGTATACATGAGTATAATTATCAGGGTATACAGTGGACCCCCGCATACCGTTGGCCTTACATAACGTTAAATCCACATACCGATACGTTTTATCGCTAAGATTTTGCCTCGCATACCGCTAAAAAACCCGCTCAACGCTGCTCGTCCTAGACGCATCTAATGTGCGGCCTTAGCCACCCTCACATGTTCCGCCGGTGGCATTGTTTACCAGCCAGCCTCCGCGGTAACATCCAAGCATACAATCGGGATATTTTGTATTATTACAGTGTTTTTGGTGATTTTATCTGCAAAATAAGTGACCATGGGCCCCAAGAAAGCTTCTAGTGCCAACCCTATAGGAATAAGGGTGAGAATTACTATAGAGATGAAGAAAGATCATTGATAAGTATGAAAGTGGAGTGCGTGTCTCCGAGCTGGCCAGGTTGTATAATAAACCCCAGTCAACCATCGCTACTATTGTGGGCAACAAAAAGGCAATCAAGGAAGCTGTTCTTGCCAAAGGTTCAACTGTGTTTTCGAAACAGAGATCACAAGTGATGGAAGATGTTGAGAGACTCTTATTGGTGTGGATAAATGAAAAACAGATAGCACAGATAGCAGGAGATAGCATCTCTCAAGTGATCATAAGTGAAAAGGCTAGGAAGTTGCATCAGGATTTAATTAAAAAAATGCCAGCAACTAGTGATGATGTGAGTGAATTTAAGGCCAGCAAAGGTTGGTTTGAGAGATTTAAGAAGCATAGTGGCATACATAGTGTGATAAGGCATGGTGAGGCTGCCAGTTCGGACCACAAAGCAGCTGAAAAATATGTGCAGGAATTCAAGGAGTACATAGAAAGTGAAGGACTGAAACCTGAACAAGTGTTTAATTGTGATGAAACAGGCCTGTTTTGGAAGAAAATGCCAAGCAGGACCTACATTACTGAGGAGGAAAAGGCACTCCCAGGACATAAGCATATGAAAGACAGGCTTACTCTGTTGATGTGTTCCAATGCTACTGGTGATTGCAAAGTGAAGCCTTTATTAGTGTATCACTCAGAAACTCCCAGAGCGTTCAGACAAAAGAATATCCTCAGCTAATTTGTGTGTGCTGTGGAGGGCAAACAGTAAGGCATGGGTCACTAGGGACTTTTTCTATGACTGGTTACACCATGCATTTGCCCCCAATGTGAAAGATTACCTAACTGAAAATAAATTAAACCTTAAGTGCCTCCTGGTGTTAGACAATGCCCCTGGTCATCCTACAGACGTGGCAGAGCGACTTTATGGAGACATGAAGTTCATTAAGGTGAAGTTTTTGCCTCCTAATACCACTCCTCTCCTGCAGCCCATGGACCAGCAGGTTATTGCAAACTTCAAAAAACTGTACACAAAAGCTCTGTTTGAAAGGTGCTTTGTAGTGACCTCAGAAACTCAACTGACTCTAAGAGAGTTTTGGAGAGATCACTTTAATATCCTCAATTGTGTAAACCTTATAGGTAAGGCTTGGGAGGGAGTGACTAAGAGGACCTTGAACTCTGCTTGGAAGAAACTGTGGCCAGAATGTGTAGACAAAAGGGATTTTGAAGGATTTGAGGCTAACCCTAAGAGGAGTATGCCAGTTGAGGAATCACTTGTGGCATTGGGGAAGTCCTTGGGGTTGGAGGTTAGTGGGGATGATGTGGAAGAGTTGGTGGAGGAGGACAATGAAGAACTAACCACTGATGAGCTGATAGATCAACTTCAACAGCAAGAGGCCAGACCTGAGGAAACTGGTTCAGAGGAGGGGAGAGAGAAATTGAAGAAGTTGTCTACTACAAAGATTAAGGAAATCTGTGCAATGTGGCTGAAAGTGCAAACCTTTATGGATGAAAATCACCCTCACACAGCTATTGCAAGCCGTGCTGGTGACTATTACACTGACAATGTTGTGAAACACTTTAGGGAAGTCATAAAGGAACGAGAGGTACAGGCCACTATGGACAGATATGTTGTGCGACAGAAGTCCAGTGACTCTGAAGCTGGTCCTAGTGGCATTAAAAGAAGAAGGGAAGTAACCCCAGAAAAGGACTTGACACCTCAAGTCTTAATGGAAAGGGATTCCCCTTCTAAACATTAAGACTCTCTCCTGCTCCCATCCCATCAATCATCACCAGATCTTCAATAAAGTTAAGTGTCATGTAATTGTGCATGCCTTTTTCAGTTTGTGTGTATTAAAATTAATATTTCACGTGGTAAAAATATTTTTTTTTCATACTTTGGGGTGTCTTGCACGGATTAATTTGATTTCCATTATTTCTTATGGGGAAAATTCATCCGCATAACGATAATTTCGCATAACAATGAGCTCTCGTGCACGGATTAATATCGTTATGCAGGGGTCCACTGTATATAAAATGTGAAATAATTTTTAAAAACACTTGAAATTTTGAAGTTTCCAGACATAATAGAGAGGTGGTGCTTACAGAGCTCACAAAAAATGTAAACAAACTAGGTGGGGCACTGTGACCATATAAGAAAGTCAGGTACAGGGAGCCGTAAAGTGAGTTTTGGTCAGAATTTGAAATGTCCATATTAGCGGAACGCTACACTCTTCCATAATACATCCTCACCAATATATCTCGCTCCCCCACTCATCCCCCACTCCTTAGGCTCGCTTCCCATCCATTGAACACTACACAGTCTTTAAACTGTTGCTGTAAATGCTAATTATAATATTAATAATAATAATAATGTATTTATGCCCACAACTCTGGCAACGACGGTGGTGTTGGTATGCGTACATGTGTTTGTGATTGTGGGTGGTAGGTAACTGCCTGTCATGAACCTACACATAATTGCTCATTGTCCAGTGAAACGAGGCTATGTGCTCTATGCTCCCTTCACCCAGCAAAAATTGTGGAAACTACTACTAAATTGTGTAAGTTTTTGCATTTAATATCTCTGTATTTTAAATACAGTGAGGTGTTTTGTGCTAAATTTATTTAATTAAATTATTGTTAATTTTTACATATATTTATATCTGCAATATATATGAGAGTCAGCATCCTAGCCTGTAAAATTAATGAAGTTTTTCCAAAATACATTTTTTGTTGACTTTTCAGCTGAAGGTAGTATGATTAGTGGCTTAAGAATAGTTAACCAGACCAGGTCAGAGGTTGTAGTTACTTGGTCAGTCCCAGCTGACCCTAATGGTCAAATTATTGCCTTCATACTGACTCTTCAGCCAAACAGTGTTCACGTGCACTGGTCACCTCACCAAGTCAGTGATCATCAGGTCAGTGATCTTCACTCATTTTATGTAATTCAGTTTTCATTGAGGAAGGAGGGAGAGTGATTTTAAAAATTTGAATAACACACAATTTTTTTATGTAGTCTTTTGCTAATTATTTTCAAGCATTTTTGACGACTTTAAATATTGCTATAATGACTCAAATTATTTTTATGAAAATAAAAAGTTTATTTTCAATAAATATACAATGTTACAGGAGTCAGTGACATGTTAAACAGATTTACAAGAATGACCCAGGTTATGCCAAGGATTTCAGGCAGTCTTAAATTAGCTTAACATTACACAACATTGTTTTATTGTGTTAGATTAGTTATATAAAATGTAAAAATGTTGTACAGTGGAACCTCTACTCAGGAGTTTAATCTGTTCTGTGACCTTGCTCGCATTTCAATTTGCTCATTTGTTAAGTCAGTTTTCCTCATTTAAATTAATTGAAATGGAATTAATCTGTTCCAGCTGAATTCCAGGCACAACAAAATACTCAGTAGTTCCCTAATATCAACTCTACAGCTTACTTATCTATCACAATTCATGTAATATGACGTAATAAATGTTATTAATAACATAGAAACATGATATACACTAGAATGAAAGAAAAGGCATTATGTTTGCGAGGAGTGGTAGTGTGCGGCAGCAGCACAGCCACCAAAGCGTCATGACTACATACCTTCCCATGCTCTTATTATAACAGAAAACAGTGTTTGTGAGACAGACTGCATTATATTACTATGTAGTTTCATGAGGAAAACAAAAGCAATGTAAAGAAATTATGTAGTACTACAGCATTTACCTTGGAGATGGAAAAGAGATGCTGGGCACAGCAGCGTATGCTCTCAGTTCATTTCGTTTCTTCCTTTTTCTATCACATAATTGCTTAATTGCTACACTCTTAATGCTATGTACACTTAATTCCTACACTCTTAATGATACACTTTGTCACTCTTAATTCTATGTACACTTAATTCCTACACTATATGGTAATCGTCCTCTTTTTCTTCTCGGCATTCTCCTGTGGACTTGCTTTCTTAGGACCCATGGTTAGAAACAAGAAATTTTGCAAAATAACTGCAAGAAACATAAGGAAACATGAAAATTCCTTCAACCACGATGCAAGCTCTGTTAGCACATGTGGACTGTCAAGCTTTGTTTTGATATGCACTACCATTTGTGGTGGCATGCTCAAACTAACTTATTTTACATAGTACGAACATACATATTATTGTAATTATTATTGTAGTATTACATATTATTATATGTATTATTGTTATTATTATTATTATTATTAATTATTATTTATTAGTACATACGTATTCTTATAATAATACTCTTGCTTACCATTTTGAATTTTTATTCGCAGAAAAAATAGAAGATTTACTGTTATGCAGACTGCAGCATTATTGTAATACACCTACCATCCGACTTACGACGAATTCGGTTCCGAGAAACCGGTCGTAATTCGAAATGGTCGTAAGTCGAAATGGTCGTAAGTCGAACTTTACTACTGAATATCAACAAAACATTTTTGTAATGACTTTATTTTATTGTTTTATTTTGGTATTTCATGTTTTACTTTACTTTTTATGTTGTTTGTACTGTATTTTATACTGTAAGGTTTAGGATAAACACTGTGTACAACACAAATAGTTGTTTATTTCCCAGAAATTTGGCACAAAAGACAGTCGTAAGTCGAGTGGTCGTAAGTCGAGCAGGTCATAAGTCGGATGGTAGGTGTAATTGTATAAATGATGTCAACCCATTATAGTATAATAATAATAATGTGTTAAAGGACCCCAGTAGAAATAAGTCACTGTCTGACTTTTTGGGGTTATCCTAGATTCTCTACACTTATGCTGCTATGTATGATAATCTGTGTAACTGTATTTGTGTATACCTGAATAACCTTATTTATGACTGCATATTTTACTGGCAAATTGGACAAGTATTGGATGGTGACGTCATTTGTTTACTCTTGAACATTGCCAAAGAATTGAACATTTCTGTTACTTTAAGCTCAATTTCAAGGTACTTTTTGTAGTGAAACCAATCAAATTCATATCTGTTTCTGTAATAAATCTTCCATTCTATCAAATGAGACCAAAAAAAACAAGAATACAACCATGAAAACCATACAAAACTATACCGCTAAGGGGCGGCTAATGGCTGAGAAGTGAACTCTGTTATTTATGGTATAATTTCTTTCAGTTTTGGTGTACATTAAGAAACATCTTACCATCATACATTGCCCAAGTTTCAGTAAGATAGTCCAAAAAACAACTGAGATCCAATTCTCTAGATCAAGTGCAAGAGTCCTTCACCAGCGTCGCATCTGGAAATTTAGCTCGCATCCAGAAGCAAAAAATCAACAGAGTGACTGCTTGTATCTTGAAAAACTCACACATTGGGACACTCATAAGTAGAGGTTCCACTGTATAATCATTATAATACTTATAATAGCTGATACATACAAGTGGGCCCCCACTTTACAACGCTTCGCTTTATGACGTTTTACTCATGCAGTGGTTTTTCAGTTACACCCATTCTTCATTTATTCAGACCTCTTACACTAAATATATTCACCACTAGCTAAGGAAGAAAATATTTTAACCCTTTCAGGGTCCAGAGGCCAAATCTCAGAGTGACAGCCAGTGCCCAAGAATTTTGAAAAAAAAAAACAAAAAGAAAAATTCTTATGGAATTAAAGATAACATTTTTCTATAGGCAATAAAATAAAAAAAAGTTTTCCGATCGGTAGTTTCCAAGATATAGAGGCTTGAAATTGACCCTCAATGACTGGGTGGCGGCAACATTGGCGACTTCCATAAAGTTGCATTTTTTATTTTATTGTTTTGTTCCTTTTTTCTTTTCTAATTTTGTTTTTTACAGTAATGTTTGTGGCCTGCAAGACCAATATAATGCATAATGTATATGTGTACACTTGTTGTATTCAACACAATAACTGCACTAATATTTTCATCATTATTTTGTTTACAATACAGTATGGCCCAGCTTAACAGCGTTTCGCCTTAAGGCATTCTGCTAATACAGCGATTTCAAATTATGACTTAAACTTACTATACCTGGAACAGTCTTTCAAATATGGTGTGCCCCCATCTGGTTTGTTTACATACTCCGTGAGCACATCTCTCTGGAAATTTTCCAAAATTTCAAGTGTTTTAAAGTTATTGTGTATTGTATAATGTAATCTGATAATTAATTATACTTGTGTACCTGTACCTAAATAAACTTACTGTGCTGGCATGCAGGTACACATTAAAATTACTAAATCTCTTTACTCTTGAAGCCATATAATAATCTCTTGGGCGCATTAAATGTCATATATTACGTTAATATAGATAGTTCCATTAATACATTTATGATATTTTTTTAAATTATATAATAAACACACTATGTAACATATAAACATGATACACCCACAGTATAAAAATTGACATAAATATGAGATTTGTTGGAAGAATTACGTTTTCTCTGGTCAAACACCAGTTACTTAAGTAGAAAATTTTTACTTTTGTTTGCCTTCACTCTGTAGCTATTAACGACCCTTGTGGGTAATAATAATGATAATTTTACAGAGCATCATTCCTTCTAAAAATTACATGAGAATGAAAGAAAGAGGAAGAGAAGTTATAAATTAGAAAGAGAGAGATGCTCCCTATACAGACAAAGACAAAGAATCACAGAGCTGCTGAAAGGAGATAGTATATCTGATACACAAAGGGTGGCACTGGTCAAAAATATCAAATATCGAACTTAAACCTAAGAAATCTTGGAGGAGACACGAAGCTCAGGAAGAACTAAAAGCCATAAATAAAATTGAAAGAAACAAAATATTTCTTTTCCTATTCAAAATCTAAAGTAAAAACAACATCCAGCATTGGACCCCTGCTTAGATGTGATGGGACTTATACAGATGGCAAGGAGATTAGTGAGCTACTAAAATCCCAGTATAACTCAGTGTTTAGTGAGCTGCTAACCAGAATAAGAGTCGATGACATAAAAGAATTTTTTATGACCAAGACTCAGAATTTGGTCTGCTCAAGCATTTCTAATATTATCCTAACACATGACTTCAAAAAGGCAATAAATGACATGCCCATGCACTCTGCCCCAGGCCCAGACTCGTGGAACTCCATGTTTATCAAGAACTCCCTTTCACTTGCCTTTGGCATTCTGTGGAGACGGAGCCTGAACACAGTGGTCATCCCACAGTCACTAAAAACAACTGACATAGCCCCACTTCACAAAGGTGACAGTAGAGCAATACCGAAGAATTACAGACCAATAGCACTAACGTCCCACATCATAAAAATCTTTGAAACCTGGAGTTTACCTGGAGAGAGTTCCGGGGCTCAACGCCCCCACGGCCCGGTCTGTGACCAGGCCTCCTGGTGGATCAGAGCCTGATCAACCAGGCTGTTGCTGTTGGCTGCACGCAAACCAACGTACGAGCCACAACCTGGCTGGTCAGGAACCGACTTTAGGTGCTTGTCCAGTGCCAGCTTGAAGACTGCCAGGGGTCTGTTGGTAATCCCCCTTATGTATGCTGGGAGGCAGTTGAACAGTCTCGGGCCCCTGACACTTATTGTATGGTCTCGTAACGTGCTAGTGACACCCCTGCTTTTCATTGGGGGGATGTTGCATTGTCTGCCACTCATTTAGATATCCATCAGTTACACAACCAAAGGCAACACGGGTTTAGAGCAGGCTGCTCCTGCCTGTCCCAACTGCTGGACCACTATGACAAGGTACTGGATGCTCTAGAGGTCGAGCAAAATGCAGATGTAGCATACACAGACTTTGTGAAAGTCTTCGACAAGTGCGACCGTGGTGCAATAGCACACAACATGCATGTTAAAGGAATAACAGGAAAAGTTGGTTGATGGATCTATAACTTCCTAACAAATAGAACACAAAGGGTAACAGTAAACAGAGTAAAGTCTGAGGCAGCTACAGTGAAAAGCTCTGTTCCTCATATCTGACATAGACAGAGATGTAAGCCACAGCGTGTATCTGCCTTTGCAGGTGACACCCAAATTTGCATGACAATGTCCTCCATTGAAGACACTGCAAGACTCCAAGTGGACATCACCCACATCATTAAATGGGCTGCAGAAAACAAAATGAAGTTCAGTGAAGAGAAATTTTAATTACTTTGATATGGACAACTTGAGGAAATTAAAACTGCATCGGGGTATAAAGCAAGTTCTAACTACACAGTAGAGTGGAAAACTATTGTGAAGGACCTGGGAGTGATGTCAGAGGATGTCACTTTCAACGATCACAACAATATATTCATCACATCTGCTAGAAAAAATGATAGGATTTGCAATGAGAATCTTCAAACCTAAGGATGCTGAGCTCGTGATTCTCTTCAGATTACTTGTTCTCTCTAGGCTGGAATGTTGCTGTATACTGGCAATGCCTTTCAAGGCAGGTGAAATTGCTCACCTAAAGAATGTACAGAGAACCTTCACGGCACATAAGTACGATAAAACACTTAAATTACTGGGAATGGTTGAAGTTCCTTGACTTGTATTCCCTGGAATGCAGGCAAAAAAGATGCATGATAATATACAGTTAGAAAATCCTAGACGGATTAGCACCAAATGTGCACATGAAAATCACTCCCTATGATAGCAAAAGACTCAGCAGGTGGTGCAACATTCCCCCCTAGTGAAAACCAGGGGTGCCATGAGTATGCTAAATGACAACACAGTAAGTGTCAGGGGCCCAAGACTGTTCAACTGCCTCTCAGCATACATAAGGGGGATTACCAATAGACCCATGACTGTCTTCAAGAAGGCTCTGGACAGGCACCTGAAGTCAGTACTTGAACAGCTGGGTTGTGGTTCGTACGTCAGTTTGTGTGGCCAGCAGTAACAGCGTAGTTGATCAGGCCCTGATCCACCAGGAGGCCTGGTCATAGACTGGGCCATGAGGGCATTGGCCCCCAAAACCCTCTCAAGGTATACAGTACATCCAGTTTTTACATTTTGATTATTAAACTGTTTCTGTTGTTTTTATGTCTTTATTTATTTCAGAGATGTGTAAGTTCACAGTTTTTTAAAGAAATCAACAACACTTATGTTCTTAATGTAACCCTGATGGATCCTTCACAATACTGGCTCAGTGTACAAGCATATACACGAGATGCTGATTTTTCTAACGATTTGTCACAGAAAGTGTCCTTCAGTATCGAGGTTAGTACATATGACAACTTGTATTAATTTGTTTTATATCAGTCCTTTAAATTAGTTGGATCTATTTTATTATCATCACACTGGCCGATTCCCACCAAGGCAGGGTAGCCCGAAAAAAGAAAAACTTTCACCATCATTCACTCCATCACTGTCTTGCCAGAAGGGTGCTTTACACTACAGTTTTTAAATTGCAGTATTAACACCCCTCCTTCAGAGTGCAGGCACTGTACTTCCCATCTCCAGGACTCAAGTCCGGACTGCCGGTTTCCCTGAATCCCTTCATAAATGTTACTTTGCTCACACTCCAACAGCATGTCAAGTATTAAAAAACATTTGTCTCCATTCACTCCTATCAAACACGCTCATGCATGCCTGCTGGAAGTCCAAGCCCGTCGCACACAAAACCTCCTTTACCCCCTCCCTCCAACCTTTTCTAGGCCGACCCCTACCCCGCCTTCCTTCTACTACAGACTGATACACTCTTGAAGTCACTCTGTTTCACTCCATTCTCTCTACATGTTCGAACCACCTCAACAACCCTTCCTCAGCACTCTGGACAACAGTTTTGGTAATCCCGCACCTCCTCCTAACTTCCAAACTACGAATTCTCTACATTATATTCACACCACACATTGCCCTCAGACATGACATCTCCACTGCCTCCAGCCTTCTCCTTGCTGCAACATTCATCACCCACGCTTCACACCCATATAAGAGCGTTGGTAAAACTATACTCTCATACATTCCCCTCTTTGCCTCCAAGGACAAAGTTCTTTGTCTCCACAGACTCCTAAGTGCACCACTCACGCTTTTCCCCTCATCAATTCTATGATTCACCTCATCCTTCATAGACCCATCCGCTGACACGTCCACTCCCAAATATCTGAATACATTCACCTCCTCCATACTCTCTCCCTCCAATCTGATATCCAATCTTTCATCACCTAATCTTTTTGTTATTCTCATAACCTTACTCTTTCCTGTATTCACTTTTAATTTTCTTCTTTTGCACACCCTACCAAATTTATCCACCAATCTCTGCAACTTCTCTTCAGAATCTCCCAAGAGCACAGTGTCATCAGCAAAGAGCAACTGTGATAACTCCCACTTCATGTGTGATTCTTTATCTTCTAACTCCACACCTCTTGCCAAGACCCTCGCATTTACTTTTCTTACAACCCCAACTATAAATATATTAAACAACCATGGTGACATCACACATCCTTGTCTAAGGCCTACTTTTACTGAGAAATAATTTCCCTCTTTCCTACATACTCTAACTTGAGCCTCGCTATCCTCATAAAAACTCTTCACTGCTTTCAGTAACCTACCTCCTACACCATACACCTGCAACATCTGCCACATTACCCCCCTATCCACCCTGTCATACACCTTTTCCAAATCCATAAATGCCACAAAGACCTCTTTAGCCTTATCTAAATACTGTTCACTTATATGTTTCACTGTAAACACCTGGTCCACACACCGCCTACCTTTCCTAAAGCCTCCTTGTTCATCTGCTATCCTATTCTCCGTCTTACTCTTAATTCTTTCAATAATAACTACCATACACTTTACCAGGTATACTCAACAGACTTCTTTCTTTCAACACACCAGCCGTATCCCACCAAGGCAGAGTGGCCCAAAAAGAAAAACGAAAGTTTCTCTTATATTTAGTAATTTATACGGGAGAAGGGGTTACTAGCCCCTTGCTCCCCGCATTTTAGTCGCCTCTTACAACACGCATGGCTTACGGAGGAAGAATTCTGTTTCACTTCCCCATGGAGATAAGAGGAAATAAACAAGAACAAGAACTAGAAAGAAAATAGAAGAATACCTAGAGGGGTGTGTATATATATGCTTGTACATGTATGTGTAGTGTGACCTAAGTGCAAGTAGAAGTAACAAGACATACCTGAAATCTTGCATGTTTATGAAACAGACAAAAGACACCAGCAATCCTACCATCATGTAAAACAATTACAGGTGTTCGTCGTACACTCACTTGGCAGGACGGTAGTACCTCCTTGGGCGGTTGCTGTTTACCAACCTACTACCTAGGACTCAACAGACTTTTTTTTTTATTTTTTTATTATCACACTGGCCAATTCCCACCAAGGCAGGGTGGCCCGAAAAAGAAAAACTTTCACCATCATTCACTCCATCACTGTCTTGCCAGAAGGGTGCTTTACACTACAGTTTTTAAACTGCAACATTAACACCCCTCCTTCAGAGTGCAGACACTGTACTTCCCATCTCCAGGACTCAAGTCCGGCCTGCCGGTTTCCCTGAATCCCTTCATAAGTGTTACTTTGCTCACACTCCAACAGCACGTCAAGTATTAAAAACCATTTGTCTCCATTCACTCCTATCAAACACGCTCACGCATGCCTGCTGGAAGTCCAAGCCCCTCGCACACAAAACCTCCTTTACCCCCTCCCTCCAACCTTTCCTAGGCCGACCCCTACCCCGCCTTCCTTCCACTACAGACTGATACACTCTTGAAGTTATTCTGTTTCGCTCCATTCTCTCTACATGTCCGAACCACCTCAACAACCCTTCCTCAGCCCTCTGGACAACAGTTTTGGTAATCCCACACCTCCTCCTAACTTCCAAACTATGAATTCTCTGCATTATATTCACACCACACATTGCCCTCAGACATGACATCTCCACTGCCTCCAGCCTTCTCCTCGCTGCAACATTCATCACCCACGCTTCACACCCATATAAGAGCGTTGGTAAAACTATACTCTCATACATTCCCCTCTTTGCCTCCAAGGACAAAGTTCTTTGTCTCCACAGACTCCTAAGTGCACCACTCACTCTTTTTCCCTCATCAATTCTATGATTCACCTCATCTTTCATAGACCCATCCGCTGACACGTCCACTCCCAAATATCTGAATACGTTCACCTCCTCCATACTCTCTCCTTCCAATCTGATATCCAATCTTTCATCACCTAATCTTTTTGTTATCCTCATAACCTTACTCTTTCCTGTATTCACTTTTAATTATCTTTTGCACACCCTACCCAATTTCATCCACCAATCACTGCAACTTCTCTTCAGAATCTCCCAAGAGCACAGTGTCATCAGCAAAGAGCAGCTGTGACAACTCCCACTTTGTGTGTGATTCTTTATCTTTTAACTCCACGCCTCTTGCCAAGACCCTCGCATTTACTTCTCTTACAACCCCATCTATAAATATATTAAACAACCACGGTGACATCACACATCCTTGTCTAAGGCCTACTTTTACTGGGAAAAAATTTCCCTCTTTCCTACGTACTCTAACTTGAGCCTCACTATCCTCATAAAAACTCTTCACTGCTTTCAGTAACCTACCTCCTACACCATACACTTGCAACATCTGCCACATTGCCCCCCTATCCACCCTGTCATATGCCTTTTCCAAATCCATAAATGCCACAAAGACCTCTTTAGCCTTATCCAAATACTGTTCACTTACATGTTTCACTGTAAACACCTGGTCCACACACCCTCTACCTTTCCTAAAGCCTCCTTGTTCATCTGCTATCCTATTCTCCGTCTTACTCTTAATTCTTTCAATTATAACTCTACCATACACTTTACCAGGTATACTCAACAGATTTATCCCCCTATAATTTTTGCACTCTCTTTTATCCCCTTTGCCTTTATACAAAGGAACTATGCATGCTCTCTGCCAATCCCTAGGTACCTTACCCTCTTCCATACATTTATTAAATAATTGCACCAACCACTCCAAAACTATATCCCCCTATAATTTTTGTACTCTCTTTTGTCCCCTTTGCCTTTATACAAAGGAACTATGCATGCACTCTGCCAATCCCTAGGTACCTTACCCTCTTCTATACATTTATTAAATAATTGCACCAACCACTCCAAAACTATATCCCCACCTGCTTTTAACATTTCTATCTTTATCCCATCAATCCCGGCTGCCTTACCCCCTTTCATTTTACCTACTGCCTCACGAACTTCCCCCACACTCACAACTGGCTCTTCCTCACTCCTACAAGATGTTATTCCTCCTTGCCCTATACACGAAATCACAGCTTCCCTATCTTCATCAACATTTAACAATTCCTCAAAATATTCCCTCCATCTTCCCAATACCTCTAACTCTCCATTTAATAACTCTCCTCTCCTATTTTTAACTGACAAATCCATTTGTTCTCTAGGCTTCCATAACTTGTTAATCTCACTCCAAAACTTTTTCTTATTTTCAACAAAATTTGTTGATAACATCTCACCCACTCTCTCATTTGCTCTCTTTTTGCATTGCTTCACCACTCTCTTAACCTCTCTTTTTCTCCATATACTCTTCCCTCTTTGCATCGCTTCTACTTTGTAAAAGCTTCTCATATGCTAACTTTTTCTCCCTTGCTACTCTCTTTACATCATCATTCCACCAATTGCTCCTCTTCCCTCCCGCACCCACTTTCCTGTAACCACAAACTTCTGCTGAACTCTCTAACACTACATTTTTAAACCTACCCCATACCTCTTCGACCCCATTGCCTATGCTCTCATTAGCCCATCTATCCTCCAATAGCTGTTTATATCTTACCCTAACTGCCTCCTCTTTTAGTTTATAAACCTTCACCTCTCTCTTCCCTGATGCTTCTATTCTCCTTGTATCCCATCTACCTTTTACTCTCAGTGTAGCTACAACTAGAAAGTGATCTGACATATCTGTGGCCCCTCTTTAAACATGTACATCCTGAAGTCTACTCAACAGTCTTTTATCTACCAATACATAATTTAACAAACTACTGTCATTTTGCCCTACATCATATCTTGTATACTTATTTATCCTCTTTTTCTTAAAATATGTATTACTTATAACTAAACCCCTTTCTATACAAAGTTCAATCAAAGGGCTCCCATTATCATTTACACCTGGCACCCCAAACTTACCTACCACACCCTCTCTAAAAGTTTCTCCTACTTTAGCATTCAGATCCCCTACCACAATTACTCTCTCACTTGGTTCAAAGGCTCCTATACATTCACTTAACATCTCCCAAAATCTCTCTCTCTCCTCTACATTCCTCTCTTCTTCAGGTGCATACACACTTATTATGACCCACTTTTCGCATCCAACCTTTACTTTAATCCACATAATTCTTGAATTTACACATTCATATTCTCTTTTCTCCTTCCATAACTGATCCTTCAACATTACTGCTACCCCTTCCTTTGCTCTAACTCTCTCAGATACTCCAGATTTAATCCCATTTATTTCCTCCCACCAAAACTCCCCTACCCCCTTCAGCTTTGTTTTGCTTAGGGCCAGGACATCCAATTAGTTGGAGCTACCTGCTATAATCACTGTGGTATTATGCCAACAAGTTGCCATAAAGATACATAACCTCTATTTTAGACTTGATGAACCTCATTCTTGACCAAAATGTTGTCTATAATTTAGGCATGCTCTGCATTGTGAAAGTTAAGACATGTGTGCAACTTCCACTTATCTTTATTGTAGATGTTTCGCCATGCAGTGTTTTTGACCTGTTCTTCCATTTAAATTTTAAAGTTGACCAATTAGTCTTACTGCAGTGATCTCAGCAGACTGGCTCCTCCTTGACACATTTTCTTTGGTGATAGAAGTATTGGTGGCATGTCATGCTCAGAGGTATATAGCTTGTTCAACAGCATTGTTGATATTAGATCTACTCTGGCATGACTTGTTTCATGATCTGTCATGCCTTTAGCCCACTATGTGATACCTGACTTAATATACTAACTGGCACACTTGGTAACATTTACCTAACATCCTAACTTACATACTTGTTAACATGGACTTTACATACTGACTTATATACTGACTTATATACTGACTTATATACTGACTTATATACTGACTTATATACTGACTTATATACTGACTTATATACTGACTTATATACTGACTTATATACTGGTTTATATACTGGCTTATGTACTGGCTTATGTACTGGCTTATGTACTGGCTTATGTACTGGCTTATGTACTGGCTTATGTACTGGCTTGTGTACTGGCTTGTGTACTGGCTTGTGTACTGGCTTGTGTACTGGCTTGTGTACTGGCTTGTGTACTGGCTTGTGTACTGACTTGTGTACTGACTTGTGTACTGACTTGTGTACTGACTTGTGTACTGACTTGTGTACTTAACATACTGACTTATATACTTGGTAATATGGACTTAATTATTAACTTACACACTTGGTAACATCATTGGAAGGTTTTACCACCACTAAATCAGAAACACCCACACTAACAAAGATCAGTTTCATGTGAAAATAGTGTAAAACTCTGTTGCAAAATCTTGCTCTGAATGTTACTACATCTTTCTTAATTGTCTGCATAAACTGAGGTGTTTGTACTGACATTATTTGTATTATTTCCAAATGAACCACACTGTCTCATGTTTGTCATGTTATTACACTGATATTGCCTTATTAATCTTAAGTTAGTCTTAAGTTTACCCGAAATGCTTTGCATATAAAGGGGCTTTTGACATTGTACACCCATTTGTTATGCTCCTTTATACAAACATGTATCATGTTAAAATAAAAATTCTTCTTTTCTTCTTTCAACACACCGGCCACATCCCACCGAGGCGGGGTGGCTTAAAAGGAAAAACGAAAGTTTCTCCTTTTACATTTAGTAATATATACAGGAGAAGGGGTTACTAGCCCCTTGCTCCTGGCATTTTAGTCGCCTCTTACAACACGCATGGCTTACGGAGGAAGAATTCTGTTCCACTTTCCCATGGAGATAAGAGGAAATAAACAAGAATAAGAACTAGAAAGAAAATAGAAGAAAACCCAGAGGGGTATGTATATATACGCTTGTACATGTATGTGTAGTGTGACTTAAGTTTAAGTAGAAGTAGCAAGATGTACCTGAAATCTTGCATGTTCTTTTCTTCTTTCAACAAACCGGCCGTATCCCACCAAGGCAGGGTGGCCCAAAAAGAAAAACAAAAGTTTCTCTTTTTAAATTTAGTAATTTATACAGGAGAAGGGGTTACTAGCCCCTTGCTCCCGGCATTTTAGTCACCTCTTACAACACACATGGCTTACGGAGGAAGAATTCTGTTCCACTTCCCCATGGAGATAAGAGGAAATAAAGAAGAACAAGAACTAGAAAGAAAATAGCAGAAAACCCAGAGGGGTGTGTGTATATATATGCTTGTACATGTGTAGTGTGACCTAAGTGTAAGCAGAAGTAGCAAGACGTACCTGAAATCTTGCATGTTTATGAGACAGAAAAAAAGACACCAGCAATCCTACCATCATGTAAAACAATTACAGGCTTTCGTTTTACACTCACTCGGCAGGACGGTAGTACCTCCCTGGGCGGTTGCTGTCTACCAACCTACTACCTAGGAAGATAAAAATTATTATTATAATTTTTATGTCTTCAGATTTACCCCTTTTACTTATCATGAGTGCTTCACTCACTTATGTGATGCTAGTACAGTAAACAGTATTCCATTCATTTTGAGTGCTCAACTCTCGCAATTTGCACACATTTCTCTCTCATTCGCACAGTTCCAGCTACAATTCCCCACAGGTGATCATTGCACTTTTATTAACTTTGTTTAGCTAAATCTCAATTATCAGCCACTGTAACACTTACTAGGCAGTTGCATATACACAAGTTTAGTGCTATATAATTTGTCTTGTATTTAATTGACTAGTTAATGTACAGACTAATTTTTATTTAAAAAATGTACACATGGTACTTTGTCACACTTGGACATGTACAAATGTGACTTACAGTAGTTATACACCTAAAAATATTAACTAAATTTGTAAAAGAACTGTTTGATTGCAGTGGGAATATTACCACTTAATATGATGGTCTATTAATGCATTGAATATTTTGACTCAGGATAAGGATGACAAAGCCCACAACATAACACTGTGGGCAATACTGCCCACAGTGTTAGTGCTGCTACTGGTGTCTGCCACAATTGTAATTATCAAGATCAAAGCCAGAAAGGAACCCATTAAAGAAACTATCAACCCACAGTACCTTCATGACACAGGTGAGTGCATGTGCACAACCAGTGAGTAAGGTTATTTTTGTCAGGAAATAAACCTGTATGCATCATTCAGTACAAGGCATGACGGAGGCTGGCTCCTCCCTCTTCTAATCTCAAGGCAGAGAAGCAACCCAAGTGTACATGTGAAAGAGTAAGAGTAATTAAACTTACTGTTTTTATTACTGTTTTATTACTAACTTGTTTTTATCATGTGCAATTTCAAGATAATTATTCTTATAAAACTCCACCTTGACTACCTCACATTAGTATTAAGATAAAATAAAGATTTATTAAAAAGTTAACCACTCTTATATTGTGTAGACTTTAGTTATTATGTATTAGGATTAGTCTGGCCAAAATGCCCATTATGATAGTGCCTTTCTTTGTACATAACAAATCAAAATTGTAATAACACATTCTTTTGCAAAGAAACAAAATCTTTCTCTCTCTTATCTTTTAAGAGAATACAGCAGGGCCCTGCTTTATGGCATTTTGCCTTACGACGTTCTGCTAATAGAGATTTCAAATTATGACCAAAACTCTGTATGGCTCCCTGTCTTTCTAATATGACACATGCCACCCTGTTTACATTCTCCATGAGCACCGCATCTTTCAATTATGTTTGGAAACTTTCCGAAATTTCAAGTGTTTTAAAGTTATTTCATATTTTGTATATACTTTGATAAGTAAACTTATGCAATGTGCTGGCATGCAGGTACTCATTAAAATCTCTAAGAGTGTCTTATTAGTCTTGAAGACACCATATTAATAATGATAATGATAACACAATAATAATCGCTTTGAGGTGCATTAAATGTCGTGTAAAATGTTTATATAGACATTTTGCTTAATCCATCTGTGATATTTTTTTGCAAAATTACTGTATATAATAAACATGCTATGTAACCTATAAACATTATAAATATACCCACAGTAGAATAAATTAACATAAATATGAGATTTTTTTTAGTTGGCTTGCCGGAGTGAACTAAAACTGTGTGTATTCGGTTGGTTGGTTTATGCAACTCGCGTCTAACCCCCCCCCCCCCCCCCGTCTGTCTGTCTCTCTCTCTCTCTCTGTGTCTGTCTCTCTCTCTCCTTTTCTTTTTTTTTTACACAGGGTTTGACAGGGTTAAGGATCCCTAGCTTTATTGACAAGCTATTTACAGGTTAAGGATTCCTAACTTTATTGGCAAGCTAAGAGCTGTTACCTACATTGGCCTTGTACATAACAGTAAGGCCACCCACATCCCTCCTATGTTGAAGGCTCTGCTGAAATGACAGATCTATCCAGGATGGGTCCAGGCAAGAGATGAGACGTCTTGCTCTGTTCTCTACTCTGTCAAGCAGTCGCAGATGAGAGGGGGGGCAGGCAAACCAAGAAAGTGGAGCATACTCAAGGTGTGAGCGTACTTGTGCCTCATACAGAATCTTGCAACCCCTACTGTCAAGCAGATGTGAGATACGGCGAAGTGCTGTAAGCTTCCTGGCTGCCTTGTTTGCAAGATTTACAATATGGTTCTTCATGGTTAGTTTGGAGTCATATTTCACCCCAAGGATATCAACTGCTTCTCCAGGTGCCAACACCCTCCCAGTCATCCTTACTACTGCACCAGCATTACGATCATGGTGCCTAGAGACGATCATCATTTGCGTTTTCTCATGTGCAAATGTTACTTGCCATCTATTTCCCCAAGCTGATATAGCTCTAAGCTGGTGATTGATGTAGCTTAGAGCAGCTGGCATTTCTTCTCTTGGATAAGTGAATGTCATTGTACAGTCGTCTGCATATGCAAGTGATTCTGGGATTCTCTCTCTCTCTCTCTCTCTCTCTGTCTCTCTCTCTCTTTGTCTCTCTCTCTCTCTCTTTGTCTCTCTCTCTCTCTCTGTCTCTCTCTCTCTCTTTGTCTCTCTCTCTCTCTCTTTGTCTCTCTCTCTCTTTGTCTCTCCCTGTCTCTGTCTCTCTCTCTGTCTCTCTCTCTGTCTCTCTGTCTCTCTCTCTCTGTCTCTCTCTCTCTCTCTCTCTCTCTCTCTCTGTCTCTCTCTCTCTGTCTGTCTGTCTCTCTTTTTTTTTTTTTTTTTTAGGGTTTGATAAGGTTAGGTTAAGGATCCCTAGCTTTATTGACAAGCTATTTACAGGTTAAGGATTCCTACGTTTATTGACAAGCTAAGAGCTCTCCCTATGTGGTCAGTGTGTGCAGTATGAAAAAAAATCCTGCAGCACACAGTGCATAATGAGAAAAAAAAACTTTGACAGTGTTTTTGGTTTAAAACAGCGACTTTGCACTGTATTTTCATATGGTATTTATGATGGTATTCTAGTTTTCCTGGTCTCATTTTATAGAATGGAAGACATATTACAGAAATTGAGACGAGTTTGATTGGTTTTGCAATGAAAAGTAACTTAAAATTGAGCTCAAAGTAGGAGAAATCTTTGATTTTTACCAAAGTTCAAAAGTAAACAAATCATGCCAAGCGTCCAATACACATCAACTGGTGAGTCTAATATTCTTTCACAAGTGCGCTGATATTATTTACACCATTTCTACACTAATGCAGTAGTCTGCATAACAGTAAATCTTCTATTTTTTGTAAGAATAAAAATTCAAAGTGAAAAGCCAAAGAAATATAAGAGGGGCCTGGGGATGTGACTAATGAACAGAGAACTTGTTATTTTAGTGCCAGGAATGTCTTTCTTGTTTATTCTGGACCCTATTTGGAAATTGGCATCTTTTGAAATTTGTGTGAAATTGGCAAAATTGCTAAATTCTGACCACTTTATTGGATAGTTGAAATTGGTAAATGGGTGGTTTGTTGTGCTCATTCGATAAAAAAAATTGAGTTCTAGCGAAAGTTATGATTTTTGTCGACTAGTACACTGGAATTGGCCGAAAATATTGCTCAAAGTGGGCAAAATCGCTGATGCATAAACATCATCGAGACCGCTAACTTCGCGAGAGCATAATTCTGTAAGTTTTCCATCAAATTTCATACTTTTGGTGTCATTATGATTAGGAAAAGATTCTCTATATTTTCATAAGAAAAATTTTTTTTTTTTTTTTTTCTGAAAAATTTTCGACCCTGAGAAGTTTTGGAGAGGGCCTCTTGACCCTGAAAGGGTTAATATTAGTACTAGCTAACCATTACCAAACCTCTTTATATACTTTATTTAGAGCCCCAGCATCATCATTCATCTCTAGCACTCCAAACTTAATTTGCTACTCCATCTACAACAGCCTCTTACAGTTTAGGATATAGGTCCCCTCAACACTTATTCTCTTGCCTGGTTCAAAACTTGTAAACATTAACTTAACACCTCCCAATATCAATCACTCTTCTCTGCATTTCTCTCACCATCAGGTGCATAAATGCTTGCTTTAATACAGTTGATCCTCGGCTAACTATTTTAATCTGTTCCAGAGAGCTTGTCCTTAACCGATTTTATCGTTAGCCGAACTAATTTTCCCCATAAGAAATAATGGAAATCCAATTAATCCGTTCCAGATGCCCAAAAGTATTAAAAAAAAAAAAATTTCATATGAAATATACAATTTCCTACACAGAAAACAATGATATATGAAGAATAAATACTACATAAAGAATAAATACTACATGCAGAATAAATGACACTTACCTTTATTGATGATGATGTGATGAGTGATGAGATGGGAGGAGAGGAGATGGAGGTGTATTATTGTTTGGAAGAGGAATCTCCTTCCGTAAGGACTTTATGTACCAAGTCCTTTTCTGGGGTTACTTCCCTTTTTTAGTGCCCCTGGGAACAACTTGACAAGTCACTGGACCTCTGTCGCACCAAAAATCTGTCCATAGAGCTCTGTACCTAGTATTCCTTTAAGATTTTCCTAAAATGGGCCACAACATTGTCATTGTAAAAGTCACCAGCATGGCTTGCAATAGCTGTGTCAGGGTGATGTTCTTCCATAAAGGCTTGCACCTTTGTCCACATTGTACAGATGTCCTTAATTGTTGAAGAAGGCAACGTCCTCCTTCTCTCTCTCCCCTCCTGTGAAGCAATTTCCTAAGTTGTGGTCTCTTGCTGTTGCAGATACTCTTGAAGCTCATCAGTGGTTAGTTCTTCATCGTCATCCTCCACCAACTCTTCTACATCCTCCCCACTAACCTCCAACCCCATGGACTTCCCCAATGACACAATAGATTCCACAACTGGTATAGGCTCCTCAGGGTTAGCCCCAAACCCTTCAAAATCCCTCTTGTTCACAGTGTGGCAACAGTTTCCTCCAAGCATAGTTCAAGGTTCTGTTAGTCACTCCCTCCCAAGCCTTACCTATAAGGTTTATGCAACTGAGGATACTAAAGTGATCTTTCCAAAACTCTCTTAGGGTCAGTTCAGTGTCTGAGGTCACTTTAAAGCACTTTTGAAACACTGCTTTGGTGTACAGTTTCTTGAAGTTTGAAATGACCTGCTGGTCCATGGGCTAGAGGAGAGTAGTAGTATTAGGAGGCAAAAACTTCACTTTGATGAAGCTCAGCTCCCCGGCAGTTTGCTCTGGCAAGTCTGGAAGATGAGCAGGAGCATTGTCTAATACCAGGAGGCACTTGAGATCCAGCTTATTTTCCAGGATGTAATTTTTCAGTGGGGCCAAACACATGGTAGAACCAATCCTGGAAAATGTCCCTAGTGACCCATGCCTTACTGTTTGCCCTCCACATCACACACAAATTAGCCTTGACGACACTGTTTTTCTTGAACACTGGGAGTTTGAGTGATACACGAGTAGAGGCTTCACTTTGCAATCCCCACTAGCATTACTACAAAACATTAGAATTAGCCTGTCTTTCATAGGCTTGTGACCTGGCAGTGCTTTTTCCTCCTGTGTAATGTAGGTCCTGTTTGGTATTTTCTTCCAAAACAGGCCTGTTTTGTCACAATTAAACACTTATTGGGGTTTTAATTTTCAGTGTCTATGTACTCCTTGAATTCCTGCACATATTTTTCAGCTGCTTTTTGGTCACAACTGGCAGCCTTGCCATACCTTATCACACTGTGTATGCCACTACGATTCTTAAATCTCTCAAACCAACCTTTGCAGGCCTTAAATTTACTAACATCACCACTAGTTGCAGGCATTTTTTTAATTAAATTGTCATGCAACTGCCTTGCCTTTTCACACATGATTGACTGTGAAACACTATCTCCTGATAATTATTTGTCGTTGATCCACACCAATATCAGTCTCTCCACATCTTTAAGTATTTGTGATCTCTGTTTTGTAAGCATACTTGCACCTTTTGCAACAACAGCTTCCTTGATTGCCTTTCTGTTGGCCAAGATAGTAACAATGGTTGATTGGGGTTTGTTGTACAACCAGGCCAGCTCGGAGGCACGCACTCCACTTTCATACTTTGCAATTATCTCTTTCTTCAGTTCGATTGTACACCTCACCCTTTTTACCACAGGGTTGGCACTAGAAGCTTTCTTGGGGCCCATGGTGACTTATTTAGCAGAAGCACTAAAAACGATGGAATAATACAGAATGCATCGAATGTATGCATGGAACCATCCGCCCTGGCTTGTAAACAATGGCACACTAGCTGAAGGCAGAGCAACTGAGGCGCACTCAGGCCAGACGGGTTCAGAACGATCATCCTTAACCGGGTTTTTCATCATTGGCTGAGCCAATATTTTTACACTAAAATGCATCGCTATCCAATTTTATCACTAGCCAATGTCATCATTAGCTGAGGGTCCACTGTACTTCTAATATTCCACCTTTATCATAATCCCCACAATTCTTAAATTAAGCACTTACATCTTCTCTTTCCTTTCTATAGTAAACCATTTAATATGACCATTCCTCCTTTAGCTCCAGATCTCTGTTACTCCTCTTTCTTGAAATTTTCCTATCCCTTCTATCTTTGTTTTCTGTGGTGCTAGGACATCCACCTTTTTCTTCACAACAACATTCATTCCTATCTGTACTACAGTTATGCACATTCAAACAATCAGACTTGCTCCAATCTCCTGGCATTATAGTCACCTCTAACACACATTGGATTCTAACCCACTTTGCTCTGAAAATGAAAGGAAGCACTACATGGGCAGATATCAAATATCAGTAATATATCTCATCATAACTTCTCCTGTATAAATTACTAAATGTAAAAAGAAGAAAATTTTATGAAAGTGTTTCTTCTTTTTCAGGTTACTCTGTGTATTTAAAAAAAAAAAAAAAAAAAAAAAGCTTGTGTACTTAGCTCTTTTTTTTTTCTTCAGGACTACCACTTTGGACCCCTGATGCCTATGCAACAATCTCGAGTCAACACATTTTAGATTGCTCTGACTTGCTACTGGAGAAGAGCTGCCAGCTTGGTAAGGGCAACTTTGGTATAGTAATGAAAGGGCAGCTTCGTCTTGAGTCAGGCCTCATCCCAGTTGCTGTGAAGCAAGTCACCGACTACCAGGCTAGAGAGGATATTCTTCAAGAAGCTAAGTTAATGCTGTGAGTAACTTAACATACTAAAGAAGCATGAGGTAGTGCTGTCCTGTATGAACATTAATAATGAGTCACTTTAAGTGTAAAAGAAGCATGAGCTAATTTTTTTTTTATTATTAACACACTGGCCGATTCCCACCAAGGCAGGGTGGCCCGAAAAAGAAAAACTTTCACCATTATTCACTCCATCACTGTCTTGCCAGAAGGGTGCTTTACACTACAGTTTTTAAACTGCAACATTAACACCCCTCCTTCAGAGTGCAGGCACTGTACTTCCCATCTTCAGGACTCAAGTCCGGCCTGCCGGTTTCCCTGAACCCCTTCATAAATGATACTTTGCTCACACTCCAACAGCACGTCAAGTATTAAAAACCATTTGTCTCCATTCACTCCTATCAAACGTGCTCATGCATGCCTGCTGGAAGTCCAAGCCCCTCACACACAAAACCTCCTTTACCCCCTCCCTCCAACCTTTCCTAGGCCGACCCCTACCCCGCCTTCCTTCCACTACAGACTGATACACTCTTGAAGTCATTCTGTTTCGCTCCATTCTCTCTACATGTTTGAACCACCTCAACAACCCTTCCTCAACCCTCTGGACAACAGTTTTTGTAATCCCGCACCTCCTCCTAACTTCCAAACTGCGTATTCTCTGCATTATATTCACACCACACATTGCCCTCAGACATGACATCTCCACTGCCTCCAGCCTTCTCCTCGCTGCAACATTCATCACCCATGCTTCACACTCATGTAAGAGCATTGGTAAAACTATACTCTCATACATTCCCCTCTTTGCCTCCAAGGACAAAGTTCTTTGTCTCCACAGACTCCTAAGTTCACCGCTCACCCTTTTCCCATCATCAATTCTATGATTCACCTCATCTTTCATAAACCCATCCGCTGACACGTCCACTCCCAAAGATCTGAATACATTCACCTCCTCCATACTCTCTCCCTCCAATCTGATATCCAATCTTTCATCACCTAATCTTTTTGTTATCCTCATAACCTTACTCTTTCCTGTATTCACTTTTAATTTTCTTCTTTTGCATACCTTACCAAATTCATCCACCAACATCTGCAACTTCTCTTCAGAATCTCCCAAGAGCACAGTGTCATCAGCAAAGAGCAACTGTGACAACTCCCACTTTGTGTGATTCTTTATCTTTTAACTCCACGCCTCTTGCCAAGACCCTCGCATTTACTTCTCTTACAACCCCATCTATAAATATATTAAACAACCACGGTGATATCACACATCCTTGTCTAAGGCCTACTTTTACTGGGAAATATCTCCCTCTTTCCTACATACTCTAACTTGAGCCTCACTATCCTCGTAAAAACTCTTCACTGCTTTCAGTAATTTGCCACATTGCCTAACTATCCACCCTGTCATATGCCTTTTCCAAATCCATAAATGCCACAAAAACCTCTTTAGCCTTATCTAAATACTGTTCACTTATATGTTTCACTGTAAACACCTGGTCCACACACCCACTACCTTTCCTAAAGCCTCCTTGTTCATCTGCTATCCTATTCTCCGTCTTACTCTTAATTCTTTCAATAATAACTCTACCATACACTTTACCAGGTATACTCAACAGACTTCTTTCTTTCTTTCAACACATCGGCCGTATCCCACCAAGGCAGGGTGGCCCAAAAGGAAAAACGAAAGTTTCTCCTTTTACATTTAGTAATATATACAGCAGAAGGGGTTACTAGCCCCTTGCTCCCGGCATTTTAGTCGCCTCTTACAACACGCATGGCTTACGGAGGAAGAATTCTGTTCCACTTCCCCATGGAGATAAGAGGAAATAAACAAGAACAAGAACTAGAAAGAAAATAGAAGAAAACCCAGAGGGGTGTGTATATATATGCTTGTACATGTATGTGTAGTGTGACCTAAGTGTAAGTAGAAGTAGCAAGACATGCCTGTAATCTTGCATATTTATGAGACAGACAAAAGACATCAGCAATCCTACCATCATGTAAAACAATCACAGGCTTCGTTTTACACTCACTTGGCAGGACGGTAGTACCTCCCTGGGTGGTTGCTGTCTACCAACCTACTACCTATACTCAACAGACTTATCCCCCTATAATTTTTGCACTCTCTTTTGTCCCCTTTGCCTTTATACAAAGGAACTATGCTAATTTTATCCTACATAAATAAAAATTTATGAAACCAGATGTATTGCAGTTGCCGAACAATTTGAGAGCAGCATACCCATATTCCATTAGCCCAACCTCCCCTACCTCAGTGCATAAAGAAGGAATAGCAAGAGGGTGGTCAAAAAAATCCAATGCAGCAAAATATAAAAATTGTGTGTTATAGATATGAATTTCTGTAAATATGTAATTTTTTTTTTTTAAGAAACCGGCCGTATCCCATCAAGGCAGGGTGGCCCAAAAAGAAAAACGAAAGTTTCTCTTTAAATTTAGTAATTTATACAGGAGAAGGGGTTACTAGCCCTTTGCTCCCGGCATTTTAGTCCCCTCTAAAAACATGCATGGCTTATGGAGGAAGAATTCTGTTCCACTTTCCCATGGAGATAAGAGGAAATAAACAAGAACAAGCACTAGATAGAAAATAGAAGAAAACCCAGAGGGGTGTGTATATATATGGTTGTATACATGTATGTGTAGTGTGACCTAAGTGTAAGTTGAAGCAGCAAGATGTATCTTGCATGTTTGAGACAGAAAGTAGACACCAGCAATCCTACCATCATGTAATACAATTACAGGTTTCCGTTTTACACTCACTTGGCAGGACGGTAGTACCTCCCTGGGTGGTTGCTGTCTAACAACCTACTACCTACAACTCAACAGACTTCTTTCTTTCTTCTTTCAATACACCGGCCGTATCCCACTGAGGCGGGGTGGCCCAAAAGGAAAAACGAAAGTTTCTCCTTTTACATTTAGTAATACATAGAGGAGAAGGGGTTACTAGCCCCTTGTACTTTGTATATACAGTGGACCCCTGGTTAACGATATTTTTTCATTCCAGAAGTATGTTCAGGTGCCAGTACTGACCGAATTTGTTCGCATAAGTAATATTGTGAAGTAGATTAGTCCATTTCAGACCCTCAAACATACACGTACAAACACACTTACATAATTGGTCGCATTGGGAGGTGATGGTTAAGCGGAGGTCCACTGTATTTCAAGGCAGGTGTGAATGTCCACCTGTCACTGTGTTTGTGACAATGTGAGTACAATTTCAGTACCTAATACTAGTGTCAGAACAAAGATTGATTATAAAATGACAAGAATTATTATAAATTGTAATTATCAGAACATAAAAATAAAAATTATATAAAATAATATGAAAAATAGAAAAAAAGGTATATCGGCAACACGTCTGCAAGCGGCAGGACTCCATGTTGCTGTTACGTAAGCATTCAGTGCCAACTTCTCGGCCTCATATCTCTGTAAGTACTGACCCTATTTTTTTATTGTAAAACACTTAAAAAAATGTGCTTTTTAAGTGGAAAGATATGGTAAGATTGAAGACTTTAAAAGTAGCACTGGATATGAAAGACAAGAGCATCTCAGGGTGAAAGGAACTCGTGAAAGACTTAAGTATAATAATGTTTGATGACTTATCATTCAGATAAAACAGTAAGATAAATGCAGTAAAGGCTAGTTAAATCATTGTTTACCCTTTCTGGTAAGTCATTGTTTACTTTGCTCTGTAACTCAAATCATTTTCTGTCCAAGTAGATCATCATCATCAGACATTTATATGGTATTTCTTTGTATTGTTTCCTACCATTTTTTCCAGGAAGCTAAAATGTTACCACTTGGTACATGCCTATGGAGTTGTTCCTGGCCCCAACCACATGTTACTGGTCATGGAGCTGATGAGTCGAGGGGACCTTCTCAACTACCTTAGATCACTGAAGGCACAGGACAATGACATCTTCTCTGTTCTCAGTGTTGATGTAAGCTTTTCACTTTGATATATTTTTTCTTCAAATGTTTTTTTTTTTTTGTCTTATATCATGCCAGCAAGCACTAGAAACACTGTTAAGGTTTCATATTTGTTCTCTCATTTCTTGATTTTTACATGTCTGTCTTGCTTTATATTTGTTATAATTAGGGTAATTTTAATAAATAAAAAAATTAATTATCCCTCTATTATCTGCTCTTTCTCTTCCATGAGGAATACATTTAGCAATATGGTACCTGTTATTTAGTACATTAAGTGACACTGGGAAAAGAAGCCTAGAGCTGCTTGATTGAAAAAGATGTCAAACTAGTCACAGGTTTTTTATGGAGCTAAACTGGCCTCAATGCAAATTAGTTAACACACTTTATATAAAAGAGAAGAGGTTTCCTATATTTATCTTCCAGTTTTTTTGCAGTTGTATTTTAAAGTTAAAATGTTGATCAGAGTACATGGTTCCAACCATTATTTGTAATATTGTTTATTTGCTATATGCAACTTCAAGATTATTATTCTTTAAAATCTCCATCTTTGACTACCTCGCATTAGTATTAACCCTTAAACTGTCCAAATGTAGATCTACAGTGGTACCCCAAGTGTCGTACAAAATTCGTTCCAGAAGGCTGTTCGAGTGCCTTTACTGAACGAATTTATTCCCATAAGGAATAATGAAAATTAGATTAATCAGTTTCAGACCCCCAAAAATACACTTAAAAAAACACTTATAATAATACACTTACGTAATTGTTCGAGTTAGGAGCTGTACGAAACTCGGGGTACCACTGTATGTTTGTACCGCTAGCACTCCAAACGTAGATATATGTTTTATTTTTCCTGCTTCCAAATTTGGCATGATTGGCCTGAGATGCCTGGTCAGTATAGAATGGGTTTTAACATTCAGTGTGCACAGTATTAAAAAAATCTGGGATCACTTAGTACCTTGCGGGAGCACTAGTTCAATTGAGCGCCATCTAGAGCAAATAGCATGGCAAAAACCTGGAATTCACTGATGTCATGTTGTATTAATACTCCCCTCTTAAGAGGAAAGTGATGACGACCCAGAGTTTAGTGGCTTTGAGGTGGATGTGGCAACAAGGGGTCGAGGAAATATCTAAAACCTCGATAGTAACCCATGTGCAACATTTGTACAACATCCTTTCGTTTCTGATACCACTGTTGGTGTCATCCTGCCAGAATGACCAATAACCTCTGCCCTAAGTATAGAGAAATGATTCTGGAACATGTAATATGTATTTGGCAGGCTGGCCGGCTTGCTCGCTGACTTTGGCTGTCTCTGTCTGTATCTCTGTCTCTCTCTCACAGGTACACATAAGTACAATTATACATAGTGTAAATTACCTAGGATAACCCAAAAATTCCAGGCAAAGTGCTATACAGTGCTTGTAGATATGAGGCATAATAAGCATGACACAAGTAATACGCATATTCACTTGCTCAGGAATCAGAGCAGCTTGTAAACCAACAGGTTTATGAGCCACTCCCTGAGACAGAGACGAGCAGACAAAAAGACAGACACACACACAGGCAGACAGATAAGCAGAGCTAGACAGAGAGAGACAGATATGTTTGTGTGTAACAGTGAAAACAAATGAAACCAGTGTTCCCTGGATCAGTGTATGTTCAAGTGTCACTGCACTGTCAGCAGTTTACTGACACTCGTCATAACACCATTCTTCAAGGAGTTTCATATACATGATATACTCTAGCATGTCTAAAACATTGCTGAGACCTATTAATACTTTGTGAAAATATTCACCTGTCAGTGTGATTGTGACTATTTGAGTACTATTTCAGTACTTAATATTAGTGCCAGAACAAAGATTGGCTATGAAATCACAAGAACTATTATAAATTGTAATTATCAGAACATAAAAAATATATAAATTAAAATAAACACGCTAGATAACAGGGATATCTTGCTACTCCTACTTACACTTTAGTCACACTTCACAGACACGCACATGCATATATATATACATACATCTAGGTTTTTCTCCTTTTTCTAAATAGCTCTTGTTCTTCTTTATTTCTTCCATTGTCCATGTTAAAGTGGAAAAGAATCTTTCCTCCGTAAGCCATGCGTGTCATATGAGGCGACTAAAATGCCGGGAGCAATGGGCTAGTAACCCCTTCTCCTGTAAACATTTACTAAAAAAGAGAAGAAGAAAAACTTTATAAAACTGGGATGCTTGAATGTGCGTGGATGACAAGAAACAGATGATTGCTGATGTTATGAATGAAAAGAAGTTGGATGTCCTGGCCCTAAGCGAAACAAAGCTGAATGGGGTAGGAGAGTTTCGGTGGGGGGAATAAATGGGATTAAATCTGGAGTATCTGAGAGAGTTAGAGCTAAGGAAGGGGTAGCAATAATGTTGAAGGATCAGTTATGGAAGGAGAAAAGAGAATATGATTGTGTAAATTCAAGGATTATGTGGGTTAAAGTAAAGGTTGGATGCGAAAAGTGGGTCATAATAAGCGTGTATGCACCTGGAGAAGAGAGGAATGTAGAGGAGAGAGAGAGATTTTGGGAGATGTTAAGTGAATGTACAGGAACCTTTGAACCAAGTGAGAGTAATTGTGGTAGGAGACCTGAATGCTAAACCATACCCCCGGCCGGGATTGAACCCGCGGTCATAGTCTCAAAACTCCAGCCCGTCGCGTTAGCCACTAGACCAGCTAGCCACAATAAGATTCATCCAACTAGGTATATTTCTACACCATAGGAAAGTTAGCACAGGCACCTCTGTGATCACAAATGCAAGTTTTTACAGACGAATCTCCAGCTAGCGTGGCCGTGACGAACTCTAGCTCAAGTCCCTTCACTGCCGTCAACATGACTTGAGCTAGAGTTCGTCACGGCCACGCTAGCTGGAGATTCGTCTGTAAAAACTTGCATTTGTGGTCACAGAGGTGCCTGTGCTAACTTTCCTATGGTGTAGAAATATACCTAGTTGGATGAATCTTATTGTGGCTAGCTGGTCTAGTGGCTAACACGACGGGCTGGAGTTTTGAGACTCTATGACCGCGGGTTCAATCCCGGCCGGGGGTATGGTTTATTTGCAATCGTGTCATTACGATTTCTTGAGTCATGTCGACCTGAATGCTAAAGTAGGAGAAACTTTTAGAGAGGGTGTGGTAGGTAAGTTTGGGGTGCCAGGTGTAAATGATAATGGGAGCCCTTTGATTGAACTTTGTATAGAAAGGGGTTTAGTTATAGGTAATACATATTTTAAGAAAAAGAGGATAAATAAGTATCCAAGATATGATGTAGGGTGAAATGACAGTAGTTTGTTGGATTATGTATTAGTAGATAAAAGACTGTTGAGTAGACTTCAGGATGTACATGTTTATAGAGGGGTCACAGATATATCAGATCACTTTTTAGTTGTAGCTACACTGAGAGTAAAAGGTAGATGGTATACAAGGAGAATAGATGCATCAGGGAAGAGAGAGGTGAAGGTTTATAAACTAAAAGAGGAGGCAGTTAGGGTAAGATATAAACAGCTATTGGAGGATAGATGGGCTAATGAGAGCATAGGCAATGGGGTCAAAAAGGTATGGGGTAGGTTTAAAAATGTAGTGTTAGAGTATTCAGCAGAAGTTTGTGGTTACAGGAAAGTGGGTGCGGGAGGGAAGAGGAGCGATTGGTGAAATGATGATGTAGAGAGAGTAGTAAGGGAGAAAAAGTTAGCATATGAGAAGTTTTTACAAAGTAGAAGTGATGCAATGATAGTTTTAGGAATGCATATCATTGGCATTTCTGATCCTTACATAGATACAGAAATCATTCCTCTTTAGTCTTACATTTTTTATGTGATATGTAAGTGTCTATGTAGGTTATTACTGATAGATAATTACAAATAGGAAATATCTCTCACATTTAATCCTGCACAGAAAGTTTAATAATGGAGTAGCATGTAAATGTTTGATCCTTGTAGTGTAATTTAATTTGTTTCCTTCTGTTAACTCATAAGTTATCCTCTTTTCCTGTTGTACTTTCTTCATATCTAGCTTGTACTTTCCCACCACTCCATGAAAATGGTTAATAGGATAAAAATTAAGAATGATCTTTGCATTTGCTTGCCAGCTACAATAAATAAAAGTTTGTGTAATAAATGCTTCCTTGACTGTTTCCTTGCAGCATGTGTGTGCCATGGCGATACAAATAGCAGATGGAATGGCTTATTTAGCAAGTCACAAAATTGTGCATCGTGACCTGGCTGCTCGCAATTGTTTAGTCGATGATCAACTTAACATAAAGATTTCTGACTTTGGAATGACAAGATTGACAGATAATGACTACTACAAAATCAGTAAGGCAGTAATATACACATTTTGTTTACCCTTTGAAAAGATATTAAAGACTTGTTCTTGTGAGAGTTATCATCCATTCAAGGAATTATGAATATGGCTTCATTTGCATGTCAATTGTATATGGAAGACTACCACTGATAGCATTGAGAATAATTTCTGGTTTCTTTAATATCTTGACTGAAATTATATTTTTGCTCACTGTGTTAACTTTGTTTGTGGTTGGTTTTCTTTATAAACAAAGTGACATTTATGAAGATATTGAACGAAACTGGCTATCTAAATTTAAGTCTTGGAGATGGGAAGTACAATACCTGCACTCTGAGGGAAGGTTGGGAATATTGCAGTTTTGAGGGTCAGTTGAACTGTACACTTCTGGCAAGGCAGCTATTGAATGAATGATAGTGTATAATTTTTTTGTTTTTGTTTTGTTTTGCTCTATTTTTGGTGGGAAATAGCTGGTGTTAAAATAAAAAATAATACAACATTTTGAAGAAATAAAATCTACTTTGCATTCAGGGCCTTAGACCCACTAATATGATCAGTAACTGTTTGCATAATGTTTATAATACCAATATAAATTGCATTACTTTTACCCTATTAGTCTTTTCTTGAAATTCTCATGGACATGTAGAAGTACAGTTGACTGTCATTTAACACAGAAATTACCTTCCTGAAAATGGCATGTAATAAAATGTGTGTAAAATGAACTGAAAAACATATGGAAAAAGAGGTTATGTTTCTTAGATCCCCTAAAAAGCCACCCAAATTTTTTCAGGTTTTGAGATTGTAAAAATCGACAATGGTAATGTAATAGATGGATGAAGTAATGTGTATCATTTGTCTGCTAGCAGACTAGAGGTGCCTCATTGTTCAGTTGTCTCACTCTGCAATTGTATGGTGGTTAAAAATGACAGGCTGGGGTGTATATGGAGAGGGGTTAGAGCTGTTAGGGTGAGGCAGTGGGAGACAGTGACAAGTCTTAAAATGAGGTTCACAATTCTTTACCAACCTGCCCTGCCCTGACCTATCCTCTCTCCTTCCCTGTAACCCTGTCTGCTGTTCCTTGCTCTACCTGCCCTGTCTTGCTATATCTGCTGTGGTTTGCCTGCGGAGGATGCTTTAGGAGTAGGAGAGAGGAGTTGTGGGTTAGGGTGAAGGAGGGTGGGAATCAGGGAGACCAAACATGTACTAGCCCTGAACTGGGAGACAACAAGACTATAATTAAGTCTTTAATTTTTTACCAATCTGCCTGGGTGTATTCTGGCATCTTAGAAGGAATTACCATAAAACCACATATTTTGTGGTTTGAGTTGCAATATCTTCTGGAAAGAATTAATATCATAACTCGAGGGACCACTGTATTGTGTTCAGTGTATTTTGCTGAATTTACAATAAATTTACTTGAGGGTATTTCACTCCCACAGGTGGTTCATGCACCACTTCAGCAGGCTCTTCCCTATTTTATTTACATGTTTTCAGACAAGGGCAAGGTATACTCTCAGTGTTTCTCATACCTTTCAGTCTCAGTTTTCTACTTCTAAACAATTCATGGATAACAGTTGTCTGCCAGTATATATGCACTGTGACACTTATGACATCTGTGCAGATATACAGGGTCTAAAGCCAGCAACAAACAACAAAATACCTTTCATCTGTAGACTGCTTACAGAGTCAAATGCAATGTTTGCAGTTTTCACAGAGACCCACATAAAGGATCACCTTCACAATGAAATATGGATCCCGGGTTAATACGTATGGAGATGTGACAGTGAACAGGCAAAAGAATGGGGGGTTGGCCTGTATATCACTGATATGCTCGGAACTACTAAATACAGTGGACCCCCGAGTTTCGTCGGCATTGAGTTTGGTGAAATCCGACTTTCGGCAAGTTTTTTCGGCAGAATTTAGCTTCGCGATTCGTGATTGGACTCGTGATTCGGTGACCATCCGGTACCCGTCTGCCCATCACCGCGCACACAAAACCAGTCTCCCGCACCATTCACACTCAGTGTGCCATTGTTTAACAGCACGTGACCATCACCCCGCGGGTTCATACATTTCGTAATAATCCATTGTTTTTTGTGATTGCAACTGCTAAATAAGTCACCATGGGCCCAAGGAAAGCTAGTGCAAGCCCTTTGGTAAAGAAAGTGAGGAACACGATCAAATTCAAGAAGGAAATCATTGAAAAATATGAGAGCGGAGTGCGTGTTACAGAACTTGCCAGGATGTATGGCAAACCCCATTCAACCATCACTTCGATCGTGGTGAAGGGAAAGGATATAAAGTGTGCTGTTGTTGCGAAAGGAGTAGATATGCTGATAAAAAAGAGGCCGCAAATCCTCTAAGAAGTGGAAAAGTTATTGTTGGTGTGGATTACCGAAAAACAGTTAGAAGGAGATGGTGTTATGCAGTCAATAATATATGAAAAGGCAAGGCAGTTACATGACGATCTCGTAAAGAAAATGCCTGCAACAAGTGGTGGTGATTGTGATTTTAAAGCCAGCAAAGGTTGGTTTGAGAGATTTAAGAAGCGTAATGGCATTCACAGCTCAGGAAACTGCTGCAGAGGAGGAGGAAGAGAGATGGAGGAAGGTGCCTTCTTCAAAGATTAAGGACATTTGTGCAAAGTTGACTGAAGTGCAAACATTTATGGATGAACTTCACCCTAACAAAGCTGTTGCAGGCCGTATTGGCAACATGTACAATGACAGTGTTGTGTCCCACTTCAGACAAATCTTAAAGAAATGCCAGAAACAGAGCTCTCTGGACAGATATTTTGTGTGACAGGGGTCCAATGACTCAAGTTGTTCCCAGTGTCTTTAAATATCAAAGAAGGGAAGTAACCCCAGATAAGGACTTCGTACCTGAAGTCCTAATGGAAGGAGATTCTCCTTCCAAACAATAGTGTACACCTTCCTCCTATCCCCTCCTCCCATCTTCCATCCACCCAGAAGTCTTCAGTAAAGCTAAGTGTAATGTTGTTATTATTTTTTATATATATGTACTTGATTTCTCATTGTTTTCAGTATGTAAATCTTTATTTAATTTGAAAAAAAAATTATTTTAATATTTTTGGGTGTCGGGAATGGATTAATTTTATTTCCATTATTTCTTATGGGGAAAATGGTTTTGCCACTCGTCAATTTCGACATTTGGCAGGCTGTAATAAAGTTGATAGAATTACCGACAATATGTAAAGTAAAAGGACACAAGTGCAACTAATGTGTCATTTTATTGTGGCAATGTTTCGCTCTCCAGGAGCTTTATCAAGCTTGACAAAGCTCCTGGAGAGCAAAATGTTGCCACAGTAAAATGTCACATTAGTTGCACTTGTGTCCTTTTACTTTACACTTGGCAGGCTCTCTGGAATGGATTAATCACGAAACTCGTGATCAAGAACCAAAACCTGGTCATTGTGGTTGTTTACAAGCCTCCAGATGCAACTTCCCAACAATTCCAGGAACAGCATTTGAAAACTGATCACTGGAAAATCTTCCAACATTTTGCTCCTGGGGGATTTCAACCTAAGGCACCTAAAATGGAGGAATGTAGCAAATAATGCTGTAGCAGAGATAACACCAGGAGGCAGCACAGATGAAAACACACACACAATCATCTAACCAGTTGAAGCAACTTTTCTAAATACTATATGACCTCTAGTCTATTAAAACATCAACCTATACTTAAAATAGTACTGTTTGTATTATTATTAATTATACTACTTGCAATTTTGTTTGTGCCATAATTAATTTTATAATGTATAATTGTACTACTTGTAATATTGCTTCAGTTAGGGTAGGTTACTCTCACTATAGCTATAGCTACACTTATATGATGCTTATCATAACACCATTCTTCAAGGCACACACAGAAAACAGAAAGACAGATAAGCTGAACTAGACAGGACTGGATGTTGCCATGAGAGTAAAAGGTAGATGAGATACAAGGAAAATAGAAGCAACAAGTAAGGGAGAGATGAAAGTTTATAAACTATAAGAGGAGGCAGTTAAGGTAAGATACAAACAACTGTTGTAGGATAGGCTAGTGAGAGTATAGGCAATGGGGTCGAAGATGTGTTGGGTAGGTTTAAGATGTAGTGTTAGTGTTCAGCAGAAGTTTGTGGTTACAAGAAAATGGGTTCGGGAGGGAAGAAGAATGATTGGTGGAATGATGATGTAAAGACAGTAGTAAGGGAGAAAAAGTTAGCATATGAGAGGTTTTTTCAAAGTAGAAGTGATGTAAGGAGGGAAGGAATATTTTAAGGAATTGTTAAATGTTGTTGAAGATAGGGAAGCTGTGATTTCATGTATAGGGCAAGGAAGAATAACATTTTGTAGGAGTGAGGAAGAGCCAGTTGTGAGTGTAGGGGAAGTTCTTGAGGCAGTGTGTAGAATGAAGGGGGGTAAGGCAGCAGGGATTGATGGGTAGATAGAAATGTTAAAAGCAGGTGGGAATATAGTTTTGGAGTGGTTGGTGCTTTTACTTAAATGTATGGAAGAGGGTAAGGTACCTTGGGATTGGCAGAGAGCATGCATAGTTCCTTGTATAAAGGCAAAGGGGACAAAAGAGAGTGCAAAAATTATAGGGGAATAACACTGTTGAGTATACCTGGTAAAGTGTATGATAGTTATTATTATTGAAAGAATTAAGAGTAAGACAGAGAGTAGGACAGCAGATGAACAAGGTTGTTTTAGGAAAGGTAGGGGGTGTGTAAACCAAATACTATTTACAGTGAAACATATAGGTGAACAGTATTTAGATAAGGATAAAGAGGTTTTTGTGGCAATTATGGATTTGGAAAAGTGTATGATAGGGTAGATAGGGGGGCAGTGTGGCAGATGTTGCAAATGTATGGAATAGGAGCCAGGTTGCTGAAAGCAGTGAAGAGTTTTTATGGGAATAGTGAGGCTCAGGTTAAAGTATGTAGGAGAGAGGGAGATTATTTCCTAGTAAAAGTAGGCCTTAGGCAAGGATGTGTGATGTCACCATGGTTATTCAATATATTTATAGATGGGGTTGAAAGAGAAGTGAATGTTTGGGTGTTGGCAAGTGGTGTGGGGTTATAAGATAAAGAATCTAACACAAAGTGGGAGTTGTCACAGATGCTCTTTGCTGATGACACTGTGCTTTTGGGAGATTCTGAAGAGAAGTTGCATAGGTTGGTGGATGAGTTTGACAGGGTATGTAAAAGAAGAAAATTAAAAGTAAATATACAAAAGAGTAAAGTGGTGATGATAAAATAATTAGGTGATGAAGGATTAGATATCAGACTGGAGGGAGAGAGTATGGAGGAGGTGAATGTATTCAGATATTTAGGAGTGGACGTGTCAGCAGAGTGAATCATAGAATTGATGAGGAAAAATGAGTTGTGCACTTAGGAGTCTGTGGAGACAAAGAACTTTGTCCATGGAAGCAAAGAGGGAAATGTATGACAGTACTCTTATATTGGTGTGAAACATGGGTAGTGAATGTTGCAACAAGGAGAAGGCTGGAGGCAGTAGAGATGTTATGTCTGAGTTGGCAATGTGTGGTGTGAATATAATGTATAGAATTCATAGTTTGAGGAAATGGTATGGTGATACCGACAAGATGTGGAAAAAGATACTTATGTACAGTTCAGGACATTTATTAAAGGAAATGTTTCGTGACAAGTGGCTTCTTCAGTCCTAATATGGAGAAAACTAAGAAAATGCATATGTATACATGTTTTCTTAGTTTTCTCTGTATTACCCCTTTCAGGGTCCACAGGCCCTCTCCCAGACTTGCTCTCAGGGTCCCCCCAAATTTCAAAAAAAATATATATATATTTTCTTATGAAAAGATAGAGAATCTTTCCCCGATCATAATGACACCAGAAGTATGAAATTTGGTGGAAAACTTACGGAATTATGGTCTCGACGATGTTTACGCATCGGCCATTTTGCTCATTTTGAGCCCTATTTTTGGCTAATTCCAGTGTACTAGTCGACAAAAATCATAACTATTTTGCTAGAGCTCCATTTTTACTATCGAATGAGTACAAGAAACCACCCATTTACTGATTTCAACTATTCAGTACAGTGGTCAGAATTTATCAATTTTGCCAATTTCACACAAATTTCAAAAGATGCCAATTTCCAAATAGGATCCAGAATAAACAAGAAAGACATTCCTGGCACTAAAATAACATTTCTTCTGTTCATTAGTCATGTCCCCATGCCCCTCTTACATTCTTTTGCTTTCCACTCTGAATTTTTATTCTCACAAAAAATAGAAGATTTACTGTTATGCAGACTATTGCATTAGTGTAGAAATGGTATAAATAATATCAAAGCACTTGTGAAAGAATATTAGACTCACCAGTTGACGTGTATTGGACGCTTAGCATGATTTGTTTACTTTTGAACTTTGGTAAAAATTGAAGATTTTTGCTACTTTGAGCTCATTTTGAGCTGATTGAGCTACTTAGAGCTGATTTTACAATGAAATTGTAAAATCAGTCAAAATCATTTCAATTTCTGTAATATGTCTTTCATTCTATAAAATGAGACCAGGAAAACTAGAATACAACAATAAATACAATATGAAAATACAGTGCAAAGTCGCTGTTTTAATCCAAAAACATGGTCAGTTTTTTTTCTCATTGCACACTGTGCTGCAGGATTTTTTTTATACTGTGCACTCTGACCACATAGACCCATTCATTTATATGTAGGCCTACCAGCTTTCTCTCACTAGATTTGAGGGCGCTAGAATTTATGCGTACTAGTACGTCAAAGACCCTGGCGCGTAAGCCGTACTAGTACGGCCGAAACCCTGAAAGGGTTAAGACTGAAGAAGCCACTCGTGGCGAAACGTTTCCTTTAATAAATGTCCCGAACTGTTCATAAAATGTCTTTTTCCACATAATTCGTAGTTTGGAAATTAGGAGGAGGTGCAGGATTATCAAAACTATTATTGAGAGGGCTGAGGAGGGGTTGTTGAGGTGGTTCAGACATGTAGAGAGGAGGGAACGAAATAGAATAACTTTGAGAGTGCATAAATCTGTAGTGGATGGAAGGTGTAGGGGTCGGCCGATGAAAGGTTAAAGGGGCTTGGTTGTGTGGGGCTTGGACTTCCAACAAGCATGCATGAACACACTAGATAGGAGCGAATGGAGACAAATGGCTTTTAGGGCTTGACGTGCTGTTGGAGTGTGAGCAAGGTAACATTTATGAAGGGATTCAGGGAAACTGGCATGCTTGACTTGAGTCCTGGAGATGGGAAGTACAGTGTCTGCACTCTGAAGGAGGGGTGTTAATGTTGCAGTTTTATAACTGTAGTGTAAGCACACCTCTGGCAAAACAGTGATGGAGTGAGTGATGATGAAAGTTTTTCTTTTTCGGGCCACCATGCCTTGGTGTGTAACAGCTGATGCGTTAAAAAAAAAAAATTGTTACTTTCACAGTTACATAAGCTTATTATCTATTATTTATTTAAATCTTTCTTGAATGCTCTACAGCAATGCTTCAATTAGTATGAATAATAAATCCTGCTAAATGATTGCATTAATTGAATTCATACTATTCGAAGCTGGTAATTGGCCCCACCCCAATGAAAATTCAATATGCAATGAAAATTTTTAATGTGTTACCAAAGGATAATAAAAATGTATTTTTTATTTAAATCTGATATAATCTAAACAGTGAAAACATTAATACATTTTATTGTTTATTTAAATTAAGGTTTCCATTAGTCATTTCTTCCGAGTATAATTCAAGCAAGTCATGGAAATTTGTAGAGTCCAGCTAATGGAACCCAGCTTCAGTCCAGTATCTTTTATTTCTTCAACAATAGCTTGCACTGGGAGGAAAAACATCTTCTTTATCTGCACTGGCCGACTCACCAGTAATTTTAACTTTTTGCAGTTAAATTCAATTTCTAAAACGGTCAAACCATCCATTGCTTGCAATAAAAGTTTCTTCAGTTCCTTCATGAACTCTGTTTTCTATCACTGTTGTAAAGACTCATGTAATAACAAGGTTCCCCTCTTTTGTATTTGCATTATTTGCACTATGTATGCCTCTGTTGTCCATATTTGCAGTGGGCAGATTATCGAAGTTTAAAATATGATCTAATATTGTTAACGTGTATAGGATAACAAGCTTTGACACATCTTCACACAGGGTGAGCAGCAAACTCATACTAAGTGATTTTTGACTCGTATTAAATAAGGTCTGGTATCATTTTATAATTCATACTAAATCAAATTTTGTACTTTTCAAATTTGTACTAATCAAGGCTTTGCTGTACTCTGCTTGATACCATGGGAATATGTTTCTCTTATTTGACACTTAAGTCCATAAAACTTTGAATAATGTATGATATCTCTCACCATTCCATTAGTCAGAGCCTAGTATATATCGGATATTATGGTTTTTATTTTCTAGGAGAAACAAAATACTTCCCGGTGCGGTGGCTGCCGCCTGAGTACCTCATCAGTAGCAAGTTTACCAGTAAGAGTGATGTATGGAGCTATGGCATTGTTCTCTGGGAGATTCTCTCTGGAGGAGCAAGACCATATAAGGTAAATTACTGCTCTCAGTGGATTAAAGTTATTTCCAGTTTTTGAAGTCTGGTCATTATCAGTAGATTAAAAATATTTGCTGTATTTTGTATGGTTTATGAAGCCCAAATTATATGTAAGCACTTAAGGCAAAACTTTAAATAACAGTACTAGACAAGAGTACAATTATTAGTTTCCATTGTACCATCACTGAATATAAACATCACAAAACTGTGCTGCATCCTCTTTTGTCAAGATCAGTGTAGTACATAATATATCTGAAGCAAAAGGATTGATGCATAAACAGTGTTGTTAAAAACAGACATTCTTCCTTCAAAATGGTAAAAAGTTGCCAAAACAGCCACCACAAATATTTTTAATCTACTAATAATGACCAGACTTCAAAAACTGGAAATAGCTTTAATCCATTTTGAAGGAAGAATGTCTGTTTTTAACAACACTGTCTATGCATCAATCCTTTTGCTTCAGATATATTATGTACTACACTGATCTTGACAAAAGAGGATGCAGCACAGTTTTGTGATGTTTATATTCAGTGATGGTACAATGGAAACTAATAATTGTACTCTTGTCTAGTACTGTTATTTAAAGTTTTGCCTTAAGTGCTTACATATAATTTGGGCTTCATAAACCATACAAAATACAGCATCTTGTCTCAAATTTTGTCATTTAATCTTTGTATTGTTTCTTGTAAACAAATGTCTGAATATGATCTAAGCAGTGAAAACATTAATACATTTTATTGTTTATTGAAATTAAGGTTTCCATCGGCCATTTCTTCCGAGTGTAATTGAAGCAAATCACGGAAATTTGTGGAGTCCAGTTCATGGAACCCAGCCTCCGTCCAATATCTTTTATTTCTTCAACAATAACTTACACTGAGAGGATAAAACATCTTTATCTGCACTGGCCGACTCACCAGTAATTTTAACTTTTTGCAGTTAAATTCAATTTCTAAAACGGTCAAACCATCCATTGCTTGCAATAAAAGTTTCTTCAGTTCCTTCATGAACTCTGTTTTCTATCACTGTTGTAAAGACTCATGTAATAACAAGGTTCCCCTCTTTTGTATTTGCATTATTTGCACTAAGTATGCTCAGTACTTGCATTACTTTTAGTTAATATTATTATAAAGTTTGTGCTAGAGGATGTGGTGTGATTTGTCCTGTACTATAATTGCCTATTAATACACCTACCATCCGGCTTATGACCGAGTTTGGTTCCGAGAAACCGGTCGTAAGTCGAACTTTACTACTGAATATCAACATCACATTTTTGTAATGACTTTATTTTGTTGTTTTATTTTGGTATTTCATGTTTTACTTTACTTTTTATGCTGTTAGTACTGTATTTTATACTGTAAGGTTTAGGATGAACACTGTGTACAACACAAATAGTTGTTTATTTCCCAGAAATTTGACAAAAAAAAACACGGTCGTAAGTTGAGTGGTCGTAAGTCGAGCAGGTTGTAAGTCAGATGGTAGGTGTAGATGTATGAACAAATGAGTAAGAAACACAGGCATCACTTAGGTATCTTAACTGACAAGACTTTTCAGTAAATTTAATATCTTTATTACGTACCTCATACCCATGGTGTGGGTGGTAGTCAAAATATTAGACACAAATAATGGGGAAGGAAAGCGGGGTAGGGGTCATCCTCGAAAAGGTTGGAGGGAGGGAATAAAGGAGGTTTTGTGGGAGAGGGACTTGGACTTCCAGCAAGCGTGCATGAGCGTGTTAGATAGGAGTGAATGGAGACAAATGGTATTTGGGACCTGACGAGCTGTTGGAGTGTGAGCAGGGTAATATTTAGTGAAGGGATTCAGGGAAACCGGTTATTTATATATAGCTGGACTTGAGTCCTGGAAATGTGAAGTACAATGCCTGCACTTTAAAGGAGGGGTTTGGGATATTGGCAGTTTGAAGGGATATGTTGTGTATCTTTATACACATATGCTTCTAAACTGTTGTATTCTGAGCACCTCTGCAAAAACAGTGATTATGTGTGAGTGAGGTGAAAGTGTTGAATGATGAAAGTATTTTCTTTTTGGGTCACCCTGCTTCGGTGGGAGATGGCCTACTTAAAAAAAAAAAATTATTATCCTTATTAATATAGCATCCTCAAGACTAATAAGAGAGACTTAGTGATTTTAATGTGTACTTGCACATTGTGTAAGTTTATTTAGGTATAGGTACAATACAATACAATTTTTATTTCCTTGCAAGTTTGCATTGAGATTCTGTAATTAAAATAATGAGTTGAAGTGCAAAGAGAGCCATTATCATGCCATGGCATTATGGGCAGACTAAATTTAATGGCTTACAGACTACTTAATATACAAAGTAATATTTATCAGAGTAGTGTGTATATATAAAACATTAAATAACTTTAAAACTCTTGAAATTTTGGAAAGTTTCCAGACATAATGGAGAGACATGGTGCTCACAGAGCTCACAGAAAACATAAACAAACCGGGTGGAGCATGGTGACCGTATTAGAAAGTCAGGTGGGCGGAGCCGTATAGCGAGTTTTAGGCGTAGTTTGAAATGTTCGTATTAGTTTAATGCCATAAGGCGAAACACCATAAAGCTGGGCTCTACTGTATTGTATACTATTAATATGCTACAAAAATAGAGCTCTACTTGGGATTTCTCATCATCTTCAACTCTTTCACTGTCTCGCATAGCTTTGTGTGATCAGTGCCAGTGGTGCTTAGGTAGATCTACACAAAATCCATAGCACCCTCAGATATGCTGTGAGCGTTAGATTTTGGCCTCAACATTGGAGAATTGGTCTGTGTGGTGGGAGGTACAAATATAAAAAATAATCCTGCTTGATGCAGTGCATGGTGGGAGCATGGTGGGAGCTCTGAGCTTGCATTTGGGTTAAAATAGCAAATTTTGAACATTGGTTTTCACAATATAATTGGCTGCTTCTTTGTGCCATTTGTTAAGACTAAAAGACATGCTAAGGAAATAAAGATTTTGGTTGGTTTCAGACTCTAAATAGTGTGAAATAACCCTCTTGATTGGTAAGGGCTGTCCTATCCCTTCTTTCCTATTCTGTTTTTTGGATTTTTCATATGTTTGCTTCAATTACTAGAACATTCTAAACCATGATTAAGTATTCTTGGTTATGGTTTATTAGCCAAGAAACAGGGAAAATATATTTTTTTATGTAACAATGGATTCATAATGGAGGCCATGTTATATAGGAGAGGGCTGAGGATGTGATTAAACCCTTTAACTGTTCGAATGTAGGTCTATGTTCTTACCGCTAGCACTCCAAACGTAGATCTATGTTTTAGTTTTTCTGCTTCCAAATTTAGCACGATTGGCCTAAGATGCCTGGTCAGTATAGAATGGGTCTTAACACTTGGTGTGTGTAGTATTAAAAAATCTGGGATCACTTAGTACCTTATGGGAGCACCAGTTCAATTGAGCACCAGCTAGAGCAAACAGCACAGCAAACACCTGGGATTCACTGATGTCATTTTGTATTAACACTTTCCTTTCAAGAGGAAAGTGATGCTTACCCCGAGTTTAGTGGCTTTGAGATGGATATGGCCACAAGCGGTCAGTGAAATTTCAGAAACCTTGATAATAACCCATGTACAACATTTGTGCAACATCCTTTCATTTTTGATACCACTGGTAGTGTCATCCTGCCAGAATTAAAATTAAAAATTAAAATTAAAATTCTTTATTTCTGTTAATATTACAATGTGGGGTTTATGTATTATAAGATATTATTACATATTATAAAATACTTTTTACAAAGGCCACTAGTATGCCTAGGCATTTTGGGCAGACTAATGCTTGTTTTTGCTCTGTGTAGACAGCCTTTACTGTCTGCATAGACAGCCTATGCTGTCTGCCAGCTGAGTTCATATTTCATGCCATGCTCGTGCTGCCACCTGTAGGCCTCTCAGTGGTATGCCACTTGAAACGGCATCACCCTGCTTCTCCCTCACTCTCTCAACGGCCTTCACTCAGTCACCAAGGCCTACTCCTCTCTCCCTCACTGGGCATGGTCCCTCTGGGCCATGGGCACAAACACACTGCCTGTGTACCTCACAACATTGCAGATAAAGAAAGAAGCCTCCAAAGCTGCTCTGCAACAACGTGACACAGTAACCAATGTTCGTAAACATCTATATTGGCACAGGATATGGATCATATTGGTATTAAGGTTAGGTAATTGTAATGATTAACTAGATTTGTAGGAGTGTCCTATAACCTATGCCCTAAGTAAAGAGAAACAATTCAGGAACATGTGTAATATGTGCCATCCTGCCTTGACTTGACTGTCTCTATCTCCATCTCACAGGTACACATAAATACAATTATTATTCATAGTGTAAATTACCTAGGATAACCCAAAAAATCCAGACTCGGTGTTATACTGTGCTTGTAGATCTAAGGCATAATAAGCATGACTGGCAAGTAATATGCATTTTCACTTGTTCAGGAATCAGACATGATGACTCTGCATCATGTGTAATACCTGTTGATTCTTGAGTGGCTCTCTGAGACAGAAAGAAAGACAAGAGGACAGGAAGACAGATAAGAGGAGACAGATAAACAGAGACAGAGCTAGAGAGAGATATACAGGAAGATACACACAGTGACAGGTAGGCAGACAGATAAACAGACATAGACATGTTTGTGTAACAGTGAAAACAAACAAAACCAAGGCAGTGCACGATCATCAAATGTCACTCCACTGCTGCACTGTCAGCAATGGAGTGACACTCGTCTTACTCCCACATGTCCAAAACCTTGCTGGGACCTATAAATACTGTGTATATATTTCTAGACAATAGTATGTGGCTAAGGTAGGAACTCGCCTAGTTGTACTCACCTAGTTTAGGTTGCAGGGGTAGAGTCCAAGCTCCTGGCCCCGCCTCTTCACTGGTCGCTACTAGGTCACTCTCCCTGAACCGTGAGCTTTATCATACCTCTGCTTATAGCTATGGATGGATCCTGCCTCCACTACA